AATGAGAGACAAAAGCTGCAACTCCGCCACACATATGCATGACACAACATACTGGCAGCTCTTTATTGTCTGTTGTACAATTAGCTGTCAACTGGTGATGTAAAGATGTGCAACACAATGCATCCTCGCCTGGTAACATGTAATTGAGTACTGCGTGTGTGTTTCAGCGCAAGTCAGTGATACAAAACTTTTCAGCCGTGAAAGGCTTGACACAATATTTGGTCGCAAATGCAGAGGCTTTAAAGAAAAACACACAAGAAAAAACAGCAGGCTGCACCCATTATGATTCCAAATCAGTGTAATGTAACAGTGAAAGGGAAATTTAAGAAGACCTTCTCTGCCCCCCAGTCAACAGTCGGATTCTTAAATATATATATCACAGACCAAAACTGACATAAGCTCATAAAAACTGCACCACCAATCTGTAAAATTAGCTAATCTTATAAAATTACCTTTGCAAGTAGCTTTGCCAAGTAAGTCCTGAATGCTTATGAAAAGTTTTTATTCTTCTTGTTTTAAAAAGACAGCCCCTCATGACTTCCGGGAGATGGAACAACCATATATTTTTACTACCTAACTTTACACATTTTTGCGTGGTTAAAGTCAGTTTGAGCCTTCCTTGAAAACTTTCATTTGCAACTAGATGTTATACACAAGCTTAGTAGCTTAAAGTCCATGGTCTAACTTTTTGTTCAAATATGCACACATGAACATTTTTAACAATACAATTCTCCCTAAAAGGTATTAAAATGTACCAACCACTTCAAAGGTAACCAGGAATTTGACCTGTTCTGCTATTTGTTACCTTTAGCTCTGTGCGTTACAGAAAAGAGCTACAGCCTCTCTTATTGATCACATTGTCCACAAGAGCTGCACCATTTGGGTGAAACAAACCATCACAGGTATACAGGGAGACAAACTGCAAAACGCCTTGATATAAAAACTAGAAACACAGGGTTATTTGCTCTAGTATGAATCCTTACATTTGTAACACCACAATGTAATTATTAAACTCCCTCAGCACACTCCACAGAACATTTCTATTTTGTGTAGTCTCGGGTTTGGGCACCAGTGTCTATGGAAGATGATTATGGTAATTTAACAATTTCACAGCTCTATTGTATGACTTAGACTTTTGTTGCAAATTTGTGACCTTATTAACCTTCTTAATCCTCAACTGGGTTCTCATGATAAGCGACTAACACATACACACACACATTTCACTATGATGCAAACACTGCAGAAGCTCCATCCACCTTTTTTATCAAGTACACCTGAGGTTCTTCACATAATATCAACAGAAGCCCTCTAGTCATCCAAGACAATTAACACCAACTTAGATCAACGGTAGAAAAAAAAAAACAGAAGGGGATGGCAGCACTTGGAGCAAAGGACTCTCCCGGTGTGGACACATGAGAAATCAGGTCTGATTGGTATTAAGTGCTGAGATTAAAAAGCCATCTCATAGGTCAGGTCAGCTGCCGATCATTTGAATGCATTACCAGGGTTCGAGTCGAGATAATTCTCTCATTAGCGCCACTCAAACCCTGAGTGACAACACGGGTGAGAGGAGAGCATGTTGTACAACACTTAGAGTTAATTAGTTAAAACACACTGTTGCTCTGTACCCCGAGCGTCTGCTCTCTACTCATCCTCCTGAAACGGCCCCAACTTCCTTTTTTTATCGTCAGCTATTTTGGTGTGAAATACCTCTCGAGACTCTGAAAACAGTTTGGATACATTGTCTCTAAAGTGCAGTTTCAACTCGAATAGTAGGCATTCCATTTAGTCTATTAAACACAAAACATAAATAATTCCCCATTAGTTAAGTTGATAATAATGAAATTTGAGAACAGTCAAATAGGAGAAAGCAGACAAATTATTCATCTAAATCCAGCAGCAAAATATCTAAAATCAAAGTTTTGGTAACATTAACTCCAACAAATGGTCTCAAAAGTTCTGTATACTTTGTCTGTCGGTCATATCGGTTGCAAGAAATGCAGTCCGATCTTACTTTGATAAACTTGTCAAAAACATAAGATAATAACAGCAGAATTTTAATTCTTTAGTGATGACATTAAGTTTGCAGATTAGGAGCATGAAGCTCCACATCATTAGTCTCTCTGCTTGTATCCTGGCCTAATAACTACCTTGTCGTCACAGTTATAGTTATCTCAGTTGTAAAGGTTCCAAAAATGGTCTGTCTCCCTTTTGCTCTTGTGCTCAAACTCCCACCACTGTTCCCATGACGCAGAGCGCTCGGCTCACTGGCCACCATACACATGCACACAGGGGGGGTTCTCTGTTGCCGCCGCTGCTGGGCTTACCCATCACACTCATATTCATACCCAGAATACCAATCTCTGCGTGAGGACCCTATCACTACCCCCAATGGAGCACCCAAGGATAGCAGAATATTCTAGAAGCTTTCAATTTTTCAGGCGGGTCTGTGAACCTCCTCCCATAATACCGCACCATCACACTCAAGGGAGTTGGGAGTTTTGACAGTCATTAGCAGGGTCAATCGTGGTCCCTCAGGGAAGCGCTCAAAAGAAAAGATTTAAATAGCTTTTCTCTTCTTTTGTTCTTTCTTTGTCAACTTGCTTTCGTTGTCTGTTCAAGTCTGTTATAATTTCATTTCCTGTCTATGAAGCCTAGCAATATTCACCCCCCCCCCCCACCACCACCACCTCAGTCTTGTCTCCGCCACTAAATTCATCAATCACAAACGAGGTCTTCCAAAGCACTTTTTATAACTCCAATGTCACGCTTCTTAGGCTAGTGTCAAATAAAGTGACAGAGCTCCAAGGCGCCAGTTATGCCCCTGTAAGGCATTTATCCACTTGTATAATGTACTGTTAGTCCTCATACGGGATCAAATACGGGATGCGAGGAAAATGGCCTAAAGCTGAAAGAAAAAAAGGATGGAGTTTTGAGGAAGATGGCAAAAGGAAAAAAGAAAATACATTTCTTCTTCAAACTCTTGTACTAATGTGAATTCCCAGTTAAATGTCTGGAGAAGTAGGTCAATGGGATTTAGAAAGTTTGTACTGTCCTCCCCCCCGGCTTCTCCCCTCACACTTGTCAATGGAAAATGAGCAATGCGATTAGGAGGGAAGAAGATGATGAGCTGGGGAGTGAAAGAAAAAACAGGAAGAGAAAGGGGGGAAAAAGACACAAAGACAGGTTGAGTGGAGGATTGGGGCTTTCACAGGTTCCTCACCAGCTGACTGAGGGACCAAGACAAAGAAACATAAAGAAGAGATTTGTATCTGCACTCCAGAGAAAGGGAGTGGCTCACATCTTATCATCTTGATGCTGAAGCAACAATCTAATTATATCATTTCTCTGGGGAACATGCATATGAAAGTAATCAGTAAATAGAAAAGGGTAATTATTTGCCAGCAGTCTTACCCTTTGCACCTGTAAGCACTGCTCTGAAATACAAGATCGTTCTTTCCTATCATTCACAGTGAAGATAACTTATTATTATAAATTAACGTAATAATTTACTTGCTAACTAAATGAATTTCCCACTTATTAAATATTTCATGGTGCCTTTCAAAACATAATGACTTATAAGTTTGGTCAAATACAAATGGGCCTCTCTTGGTAAATTACTGTAGCGTCCCTCAGGGTAAAGCACTGCCTGTGAATGTGATCGAATGTTACAATTAAAAATGCTAATTCATTGTCTAAAGCAACATATCTGTACACATGATGTATTTGACACTTAATTGGAAAGCACATTTACAAAAAGGTTCATTCTGTGACTTTCTTCATTATAGCCTAATCAGAATGAATTCTACTGACTGTAATGAAGTTGAACATTCATATTTGGGCTATTAAAGACACTGCAAGCATGAATTATTTAAATGCTAATTAATGATTTAAGCTTTCTAAGTAGCAATAGGCACATATTATTCCTCAGTTCGTTACAAATGACTAACTTCAACATTCACTAAGCGTTATCCTTTTGCTTATATTTCATTCTAATCAATTGAGTAGAGATTCTTCTACCCATGCAGCTACTTTCACCCAGTGTTAAAAGGAGATGGAATCCATCAATACTGGTGGACAGGTGCTGGAATTGCTCATCTCTTTGCTGAGATTTCAATGGCCACTCTGATGTATCACGGGTATTATAATTCAAAACTATATCAGACGTTGAATTATCATTCATTATTGATTTTAGCTTTTTATTGCCTTATTATGATACAGCTTTTACTCACACCATGCATAATTTCTGTGTGCATTTATGTTTGTATCTAATAGAAGGACCTGTGACCCTTGAAAGAGCTACAGTGTAGTATCAAGTTAAGTAGAGTTGGAATACAATGAGGTGCAAGTTAACCTGAGCTCAAAGCAGTCTGTGATGTAGGCAATGGTGCCATTATTCATGTTTCCCCGATAGCTTGTTATTCATCATAAGACAAAAGAGATTCTCACTCAACCTGACATAGATGGACGGGGGCATAAGTGTATTATTCACATCTGTTGAAAACAGTGTGCACAGCCAGTGAATGTCACGATACACCATGCTCACTTATGAAAAGTTTCCCACAGCAGAATACAAATGACATTTTCCCTACCGCCACGTCATGAATATTAATTCACTCAAAAACATAATCTGTTAGAGCTACGTCACTTTTTTATTTCAAAACCAACACGATTTATTATTCAAAGCACTAAATGAGGCACTGTTGTGTGTGGAGCCGTGAAGGCTGTGCTTCTTGTGCAATCCACCATGTGGCAGTGTAATCCCACAAAAACATACAAACAAAACGCTCACCTCAGGTCTATTTCTCTGATGTAAATTCAGGATTTCATCATTAAAAAGGCTACCCTAGCAGCTTCCCATTACACACAGTGCTGCCTTAAACAGAAATGCATAAGTTCTGAAACCCTTTGTGTTAATATTTATTTTTCTTAGCTTGAATAAATCCTTTGGCAATATTTTATTTCTCCTTTTCTTTGCCACAGTTGAACATGTTCATGAGGAAAACTGATATGCGCATTCTTTCCTCAGAATGCCATCTTTTGCTTCTACCTGGCATCTCCACCAAGTTTTAAGCACCCTGATGGTATGTTCATTTTTATTCTGTCATTTGCATTTTGATCAGAAAAGCATTATCAAATGCGATATACCAACAACATTAATAACTTAGCTATTAGATCAGCCTCAGGTCTGAGCCTGCTTCAAGATAATGTGGTGTGTTTTTGTTTCTTGTCTTACCATGTTCTGTTGTGTTGCAGCTCATTCTGACATTTAAAAACAGTCCACATCAGTTCACTTCTGTAGGCTGCTTTTTATTGCTGATAGTATGTTGTTATAATATGTGAAAATGCCACATTTATCTAACTTCACTTGGATAATTGTCGTTCTTATTAGGTCCTGGTCTTCTGTAAAAGTTGAAATACTTCAGATGAAGTTCATCAACAATATTAATTAAAACACATCACTGGGCAGTCACTTAAAACTTGTCACTCAATTTGTAACTTCTAAATCAGAAATGAGAACCAAATTAATCAAATTATGCTTTATTATCAGTGTTTGTTTCGTTGAAGCATTCCCCTCTCATATTCATCAACAATCAACATTACTTTTGCTCAACTGTTCACTTTTTCTTTGATCAGATTTGTATTTTGAGATAATATTTGCATATTCCTGCCCAGACTGGTATATGTTTCGATTCAGCTCTGCATGAGAGAAGTCCACGTGGAACAGCCCAAAACGAACACTGAATCCATCAGCCCATTCAAAGTTGTCCATCAGTGACCAAGCAAAATATCCCCGGACGTCGACCCCATCCTCTTGCACGGCTAAATGTAGTCAAAACATAGAAGAGAGTCTTAATTTGGCAAAGACAAGAATAGACATTTTTCCTCTTCCTTTACTGTTCTGCTTCTTGACAGCTGCAGCAATCTAATTAATCCATGACTGTTAACATGACACGTGAAAAGATTAACATCCTGATAGGGTGTTCAAATCACAACAACGGCATAATTCATTTATAACAGGGGAAAATTAGTTACGCCTAGTTCCATGCTTATCAGCTGTCAGTGTGGAAACTTATCCATGAGCTACACCTTCTATAGCTGTAATTAAGTGTACGAGCAAATACGTTTTTTATCAGGCCATTTAAATGCCATTTTTAAACCTTTCATCTTTTTCTTCTTTACATTATCTTTAAATAAAGGGAACAAACATGCATTGACCAAATAGGATTTTGTAAAAATAAAATGATGTAACTTTTAAAAGGACAGTTAGAAATGCACTCTTGGTCAAAAATATTCATCCGTAATATTAATCAACTGTATAAAAACTTTTTCAATTTGAACATTAAGGTTTACTTTGGATCATCTGTTGCAGGCATTAGCCAGAATATTTTGCTGTGTACAATAAAAATCAATAATTAATAATAATTTTTTCACCATTTCTTAATGGCTTAAATTTTGCCCACAAAGCCTGTTTCATAACACTGAGGCAGCAACATTCTGACTTAGAGCTAAAAATAAGTAACTGTTTAATTTGCATCAAACACTCAGCACAGATGTATTACATCTTCACATCTTGAGCTGATACTCAAAATTGTGATTAAGCGCACACTTAGAACATTTCTCCAAGTAACATTTGTCTAAGTAAATGTCTATGTTGGTAAACACTGACAACTTGAAATATTACTTTTAGCATCATTTGCACGATTTAAGTAATGAAAACACTGTTCCAGTCTGACTTGTTTCTTTTATCTTTCTTTTATCACAGTTTTTAGCAGAACTGATTAACCAGCTTTTACCTTTAGACAGCTCTGAGATTGTGCTCTTGTAGAACTCACAGCGATGAACGTCCTTCATTTGTAGCGGCCCCACTTGAGAAAAGCCATTCTCTGTTATGTAGACGGCTGGGCTGCTCAGGGTGTCCTGGCAAGTCATAGGGCAAATGTTTTTGTCAAACAAGACATCACGCTTGTCAAGCAGTCAGAGGGGAGATAGATTGGACTACAATGTGCCGTTTAGCTGCATTTCAACGGTGCCACCCTCAAACTAATGGCCTGTGACAAGTCACAACAGCAGGAAATTGCTCGTTTGCAAACACTTTTCAATAAAGCAACTGTTTCATTCAATGTGACAGCCCTAATGAAGCATCAACGTGTTTCTGGAGGTGTCGAAACACACAAAATCAATGACAAGACACTAAACAAATTTCAGAGTTTTTCTTGTGTGGATGTTTATGAAAGCTATCTATTATACTGGTGGTCAAAAGAGCAAGAATAATAACTAAATAATAATTCATGGTTAAGCCTTCTTTTGAGTAAGTTTTAGAGTTGTGGATTGAGTTTACCTTTATATATTTAAGAAGTTTCCTTAAGCCATCTGGCACAACAGCAAGCCAGGACAGCCCACTTATTGGCCAGGACGGATCTACCACCTCTTCAGTATCTTGGTCACTCTTTGTACTCAACGTTTTCTCACAGCCTCCTCTGGGTTTGACTTTCCGGGACGTATAGTAGTTCAGTGCAAAGAAGTCAGCAGTTCCCAAAATGGTGGGCTCATCCTCTGAGAACCTGGGTAGCCTTGACGTTCCCCTGTATCCCAGCTTCTCACTTTGGGCATCGATAGCAGATTTCATCACTTCCGGATAATCCCCTGTGACAAACACAGGCCAGGCAAACCATCCCAGAGTGAATGCGAGCGCACGAGCAGCAGCGGCGATGTCCTCGTCACAGCCCGGATCCAACGGCTCAAACCAGTCGCTGTTGATGGCCAGGGACACTGCGCCCCCCTGCTTTTCTCTGTACACGGAGCTGTAGCTGTGCCAGGCCATGGCATGAGCACGCAGCATGTTATGCCCCACCACGTAAGGAGCAGTGCCTTTTTCTTTCAGTCCCGGGGCATGGATGCCATCCTCATGACCCAGTTTAGCACACACGTACGGCTCATTGATGGTGATCCAAAGTTTGACACGATCCCCAAATGTCTGGAAACAAAAGTTTGCGTATTTGTCAAAGAGGATTGCGATATCCGGGGATGTCCAGCCTCCCCGATCTTGGAGAGCTTGAGGCAGGTCAAAGTGATAGAGAGTGACCATTGGCAATACATCACAGGCCAGCAAATCATCGATCACTTTGTTGTAGTACTGTACACCTGTTACATGGAAGGCATCCAGTTAGGCAAACGCAAAAATCTTTAGCATTCGTACTTGGTTTAATTCTGCCATGGATGATGAAAATACCTCTTTTATTGACATGCTGTGTTGTCCCATCAGGTAGGAGACGCGCCCAGGAGAGAGACAGGCGATAGTGTGTCAGTCCAAGCTGCTGGATACACTCCAGGTCTTTCTCCCACAGCTCGTAGCTGTTACAGGCAAAATCCCCATTTTGGTCATCAAACACTCTGCCTTTCTCCCGGCAAAATGTGTCCCAGATACTCGGTCCCTTGCTGTCTGCCTGCCATCCTCCTAAACAAGCACATAGTATCATTGCATTACACACAAATAAACATGTAAGGCCTTGAGATAAAGGGAAATCAAACATGTTCCTGCTGAGACTTCAAGTGGCTGACTATTGAGTGCCATGTATTCAGCCCACCCTCACTTCGTTATTGCTTCCTTTCCTCCCCCACTATTTATTTACTGTTCCATGTGACAAGAGGGCTACTAAAACAATAACGCACAATATCGTTAACGAGTAAACTTGTGATTCATCATATTTAGACACAAGTGGATGACGCTTTAAATAAGAGGAAATCACTCTTGTAATCTAGCTCAGTCTAATGCAGTTTATTACAAATGTGTTTCAACTGTGATGTGCCAAGGCGCGCACGAGGTGCGCAGTCTCAGACCCAAAACGTGCTGATGACGGCATCGGTTGTTTCCATACCTTCTATCTGATATGCAGAGGTTGCAGCTCCCCAGGCAAAGCCGGGCGGGAACATGCTTTTTACTTCGTTGCAACACTGAGAAAAAGCAGCCTTTTTTTTCTTTCCATGTGTTGTCTTTCTGGCGCGTTCCCACACAGAAGTGTGTCATCCGTCTCAATACACAAAGACCGCTGAAAACACACGACCAGGAAGTACTTTGGGGAAGTGGGCGTGGTCAGGACGTGCACAGGACGCGCTGATTTTCCCCGTTGTCACAAATCACCCAATATTTCTGTATTTATATTACAGTAACAGAGGTACAGGCTTTAGTAGCTGAAAACATCGGGAGTAAAAGTGTATAATCATCACTTTAAAAGTTACGTATGTTTTCTTGTGCCTGTTTATTTCCCAGATAGATTAGTGTGTGTGTGAATGGGTGAATAAGGTGCATTAACTTAAAGCAGTTTGTGGAAAGGCGCTTTATGGAGTTCAGTCCGTTTTATTTTATTAGTTTACGGGCAGTTCTGCCACATTCAAGATGGCGGACTCGCTGCAACGGACGAACTGTACTGGGGCTACCGGGCTACCGGGGGCCGGAGGGGGGGCTACTGGTAAGGGGCTACCGAGCCGGGGTCCGGGGTCCGGGACTCCCCTCGGTATTCCGTATTCCGTCTTTTAGAACACGCCCACTTCCTTGTTTTTGTCACATGACTAAAAACAAACCAATGAGAATCTAAACTAAGGAAAAGCAGATTCAACTAAATGTCTTAAAGATGTAGTTGTGAATTGAATAAAATATAACTATATGAACTACTGAATTAACTGAACTTTACACTGCAATTGTATAGCTGTGTGTATATATTTCTGGGACGTGCGGTCAGGGGAGGGGACGTGCAGTCACCGGTGGACACAGATTACAGTCATGGCCAAAAGTATTGAGAATGACACAAATATAATATTTTGACATGATCTGCTGCCCTCTGGTTTTCATGTGTGTATGTCAGATGTTGTCATCACATACAGGAATACAATCAATGCTTGAATTTTGTCAGAATTCCTAGGTTTTCGTTTTTCCACCCGTCTCTTGATGATTGACCATTAAAATCAGGGGAGTTTCCAGGCCATGGACCCAAAATCTCTATGTTTTGTTCCTTAAGCCAGTTAGATATCACCTTTGCTTTATGGCAAGGTGCTCCATCATGCTGGAAAAGGCATTGTTCATCACCAAAGTGCATTTGGACGGTTAGGAGAAGTTGCTCTCGGAGAACATTCTGGTACCATTCTTTATTCATGGATGTGTTTTTAGGTAAAACTGTGAGAGAGCTGACTCCCTTGGCTGAGAAGAAACCCCACACATGAATGGTTTCAGGATGCTTTACAGTTGGCATGAGACAAGACTGGTGGTAGCGCTCACATCGTCTTCTCCGAACAAGCCGTTTTCCAGATTTCCCAAACAACTGGAAAGGGGATTCATCAGAGAAAATGACTTTACCCCAGTCCTCAGCAGTCCACTCCCTGTACCTTTTGCAGAATATCAGTTTGTCCCTGATGTTTTTCCTGGAGAGAAGTGGTTTCTTTGCTGCCCTCCTTGAGACCAGGCCTTGCTCCAAGAGTCTCGGCCTCACAGTGCGTGCAGATGCACTCACACCTGCCTGCTGCCATTCCTGAGCTATCTCTGCACTGCTGGTAGCCCAATCCCGCAGCTGAAACACTTTTAAGAGACGGTCCTGGCGCTTGCTGGTCTTTCTTGGGTGCCCTGAAGCCATTTTGGCAACAATGACGTTGAAATGTGTTTTTGGGGATAAAGTTAATTTTCTAGGCAAATATTGACTTTGCAATTAATTGCTGTTATGCTGAACACTCTTTTTAACATTTTGGAGTATATGCAAATTGCCGTTATAAAAACTGAAGCAGTAGACTTTGTAAATATTAACATTTGAACCATTCTCAAAACTTTTGGCCATGACTGTACATGTTAAATTTCAATATTTCAGTATTTATATTACAGTAACAGAGGTACAGGCTTTAGAAGCTGAAAACCCTCAGCATTAAAACCAGCGTCTGTTCTAGACGCTGGTTTGGTGCTTCCTTATATCCTAAACATCAGGAGTAAAAGTCACTTTAAAAGTTACGCACGTTTTTTTGTGCCTATTTATTTCCCAGATATATTAGTGTGTGTGTGAATTGGTGAATGAGGTGCATTAACTTAAAGCACTTTGTAGAAAGGCGCTTTATGGAGTTCAGTCCGTTTTCTTGTATTAGTTTAAGGGGCGTTCTGCCACATCCAAGATGGCGGAGTCGTTGACGTTTCGCTGCAACGGACCAACAGGCTCAACGCGGCGTCTACTTATGAGGAGCAGGACTGCCAGAGCGTTGAAGAAGAGTTTGTAGGACTTCTGAAAGACACTGGAAAACTTCCAAATGCGGTCCATCGACACGGGCTGTAGTTTTCTACGTGGGCTACAGCGGCTGCCTCGTTTACGTTTGTTGGGAAGTTTTCTTTAACCTTAAAAGTGTCTTTTTTTCGTATTTTGAGGGAAAGTTATTTCTTGGGGCGCTGAGGGGATAATGCATTATCACTCATTTGGTCAAGTACGGTGTCCAAAAGTACCGGGGAGTAAAAGGTGAGCATCTAAGAAAGTCCGACGGCATTTCCTGAAGTTTAAGCGAATAACCTGGGATGACTTGAACCGCCTCCCGTGGAAAAGACAACACCGAGCTGGACACAAAGAGAAGCTTTCAGGAACCGGGAGATTCGCGGAGTGAGCAGCGCGAACGCCTTTTTTTTTTCAATGTGCTGGACATGAACGCCACACCGGGGTGAAAAGGGGAGAATAAATGAGTGCTTTGCCAAACAAAGGACATCTTCGTCGGACTGAAAACCGCCGAGTGAAAGAGAAGCCTTGAGAGAAATGGAGGAGGAAGGCTCGATTGAGCCAAACTACGTTTCAGCGGAGGAGTCGGTCGCGCTGGGCTTCGAACCCTTGTGATAAGGCTAGTCCACCAGCGGTCTCCCCTTTGCCAATGCGGCGGTGTTTTTCTGCTGGCGTGTGAAAATGAGGCTGTGTTGGCGGCAGTTGTTGGTGGTTCTGCTGCTGAGTGCCTGCCGCGGCTCCTCGCCCCTCTTCCCCTGCAAATCCTCCGACGAGAGGCCGAAAAGCGGCGTGAAAAGCCCCACGCCCGACAAGAAAGTGGTGTGCAGCAACATGGAGCTCCGTCAGGTGTTGCCCGCGGAGTCCCTCCCGAACAGAACAGTCACACTGTGAGTACCCGGGAGATGCACGCCTCAGCCATTTTTTACTGCAGGAAAAGGATCGAGTCAATCAAATAAGCCGCCGAAACGTGTTTTTATTTAGTTGGTCCGACCAAAACCACTAGAGGAGGCTTAACACAATCAGACATTCTAACATATCGATCGTCGTAGGGTCTGCTGGTCAGTAATAAAGTTAAAGTGAGCTTTCTTGCTATATTTCTGGCCTTTCTATCAAGAAGTGCGTTGCAGAACAAAACATGTTTAAGGTGCAGTAATACAAGTTTGCAGACGTGAATAAATATTCAAGACACGATAACAAACAACTAATAACTAATAAGTAAACTAAAGTGGAATGTAACGTCCTGAAACATTAGATAGAAGGGGGTTGAAAGCATCAAGAACCATCAGATTGGTGTTTGAGATGTGTTCACTGACACCACCAGACTTGTGATCATGCATAACAGCATATGTGCAGAGCAGTTATAGGAACACAGGTTTCCCACCCTCCCAGTAACATGCACTCTGATGGGATCAGTCCCAGCTATTGACAACACAGCTGAAAAAGCCTTGTGTTTTTCCTTTAGGTGAATTACTCTTCTATATTCCTCAATAGTATTGAAGGGAAGATTTAATATTTCCCCGTCTGTGGAAGTGTCTTGATTTAAAACACTTAATTCACACCTTTCCTGTTGCATCAAACTGCAGTGCCATGAACTCAGTTACTCTTTGTTCCTTCACAACCTTTAGGCACCAAAGGCACACAATACAGACTCAAGTTGAGGATTATTGCAGCTTTGAGCTTTGATGTTGTTGTGCTGGGGTTCTTTTAGTGTTTAACCAATTTAAGACTGAAAATGAGTGAAGTTTTTAAGATTATTTTGCACAAAGCTTTTGACAGTAAGGAGCAAATGGCAGTGAAATAAATGCACAAATGGGCAGAAGCTGTATGTTGTATCATGAATGCAGCCTGGATTGATGAGTTTTGATTTAGCTTTCCACAGACGAGGGGCTTCGGCCTTGGCTTGAGAGATGTGCTTGAAAAGGCGGCAAGTTTCTGTCACTAAAATGGAGTAAATGCTTCTATTTGAGACTAAATTTCCCATCAAATTAGATTTTCTTTCAGTTACTCCAGTGTGAGTCTTTGTCAGGTGTTTAACAGTGTTAAGTCTTCACACAAACCGCCCCAGCATTCACTTTGGGATGCTTCTTGTTTTCAGGAACAGTCTTTAGAACCTGAGGAACTTCCTTTGAGCGTGTTCTGGAAAGCATTGTGTTTTTATAGATTGCAAAAAATTTAATTCGACGAGTACCGTCACCTTCTTAAATTTGACCAAGGTTTGGTTTTACTTTCATCTCTGATTACAGAAAGGCTTGTAGTATGAGTCTGTGTCTGCAGGGCATCAGTGAACTTTGAAGCCTCGTCTTGTTTTGACATAGACAGATCGTGGTATGAGATGGGTTCCTCATGACTAAGCGTTAAGCGAAGGCTCTGTTATATGAAGGATGGCCTCAAAAGAACAAGGAGAATTTAATTAGAGAGCACAGACAGAAAGCAGTGCTGCCCTCAGGAATTTCTTCCAGTCTGAGCTTTTTCATCACCGGACAATTGTTGTCATATATTGAAGGAAAACTGCTGATTTTCTCAACCACCACCCACTTCACAGTTCCCTATGGACATGATTAGCAGTGAAACAACAGTTTATGCTCACAGCACAGTCAGTTGGTGGTCATTTACGAGGTGTAAAATGTGCAGACTCTCTCTGGGGATGCAGCGGTGGTGTTTTACAGCAGTCCCAGCACTTTCACACGGGGCTGGACGTGTCCTGGACGCAGCTGGTTGGGACGGCAGACGAGTGATTCAGGAGTTTTGGCCCATTATTCTCTTTGTCCAGCAAACGTAGAATAGACTCACCAAGCTGCTCCTCTGTTGTCTTTTTTTCCCCACTGATGTGGAATATTGATGTTTTAGTAACTCAAAAAACCTAAACATCAGGAATATGTCTTACTCTCTTCGAGCTGTGAGCAGAAGTGCCTCAGAGGGGTGGGTTAACACATGCCGTTCAGTAAACATGTCCAGATTCTCCAAAGAGTGTTCCTGAGGAATGGAGATAGTGTATCTTCAGATGAAAACACAGTACCCTTCACCAACACTAAGATAAGCAGGTCATCAGAAGGTGTTTATAACATCAATGGCATACTGAAATGCAGCACAAGAGCATTCTGTGTGGCCAGTTCTCTGGTGGCAACGCAGCGCCAGAAGCCAGTCCAGAGCACGATTTGTTTGTAGATGGATGGTGCAGCAGATTCACAAAATATTAGCTTGGAAATCCCATCCCACCTGTCCTGCAAGAATATAATCACATGCACATATGAAGCTTAACGTCGATGATGAACTTACATAAGAATCCATGAGTTAATGTGTGATTCAACAGGACTCGGTTTAAATTGAAGTCTGTGTCTTCGGTGTTATACAGCTTCCTTGTGGCAGTGGGGTTGTCGCTGTCTTGTATCTAGTTGTCTATTGTGTGAAAAAGTCAACCTTTAATCAGAAATGGATCCAGATCCACCTGTTCATGTTTGACAGGATTAGGCACATTCACATAAACCACATAGACGCAAAAAGAGTCAGGTTTCATCAAACCGAACCTAACAAGTTTGAATTCACCATAAATTATTCAGAATCTAGAGAAACCAAATCTCACATTGGTTTCTTTGGAATTTATTTTTAATAATGCCATTTCAAGATGAACTAATGTATTTACAAAACCTTGGTCAAAGGGAAACTACTGACTCTGAGCCATGGTACCTTTTAATCATTTCACTCGTTATAAAAGGGCTTCAAAACCTGAGGTTTTTCGGTATCCATGAGGTTTGGCTCTTTCCACTGTCGTCAGGATTTCCTGTTTTTGTCATTAGGACTTCCACCCCAGAAATATTCAAACCACATTCCCGTTCTTTGGGACTTTTTTCGACCACTCTTTGCGGTTATGAACTTATTGAACTACTAGGATAATTGGTTTGACTTCATGCCATGACAAAGACCCCACATCTTCTGTGTGTGTATAGAAAACCGCTATAACTCTTGGCTTTAACCGCACATGTTTGTGCAAGAGCAGCTGCACGGTTATCTTACCTAAATTATTGGCGGTATTAGTTTCCCCTGATTTTTACTGCATGGAGTTATTCATTGCAGCCTGAATGCCTCTCTGTGGAGAAAAAAAGTGAGTAATGCATTCCCTGCATTTGTGCTTTCCAAGTGATACCACATGCCTTAGTAATCCGAGAGGAAATGACACAAATGTGTTTACAGCTGGCCTGTCCGCCCCTGTCAGAGTAGGCCTCCGTTAAATTACAGCTGAATTTCACTTTTACCTCTCATAGGAGTGGATAGTTTGAGACTAATTTGTATTTTGGTGTGTACACAAGTGCTTGTTTCTGTACCTACATACATACACAAGAACAGGCTATATTTAAGCTTTCTGTGCTCACCCAGCTCATATTTCCTTACAAGACTGGGTTAGTATAATCAAGATCCATTCATAAGAACACCTGGGTTAGAGTGTGCTCGTAAGAGCACCTGGTTTTTCTCTCTGCAGAAGAGAGCAGGATTAATGTCAGGCAAAGGCAGGGGCTGCCTCCTTCTCTGCAGAAAAAGTGTGTTCTGTTTGATGACACTTTTGAGTGCAATAAACTGTGGTTTCACAACTGCAAACTGGGACTAAGGGTTACATTCTCACCTGTTATTTAGAGATTCACTTCCTTAAGCCACACCTATGGATTGCCTTCCTTTTGGATTTCACATCCTGAAACTTTTGACATGGATTGTAAACACAGTCACATCAGTTTAGAGCTTAATTTGTTATTATTTCAGTTATTGTATTTTATCAATAACTCTATCAGCCTCTGTGTGACAAATAAAAGGGATTTGATTTTGGTATTTTCCAGACAAACCTTTGGTTTGCTACGTGGATGCTACTTTGTGCGTGTTGTGTGTGATCTTAAGTAGTTCTACAGTGTTTGCAGATGAAAGCCCAAATCCCAAAGGCACGGCACTGACAGCTGCACATTCAGTCAGGTTGCAGCCTTTCATTTGGCAGATCAGTTGAGCTTTGACTTTACAAGGCTGAAGTGCCTTTTAATCCTGGACAATTCAGTCTGGTGTTTAGACAGGAGATATTTGGAGAGCACCGAGTCTGTTTTTGTGTACGTGCTCACTCTCTTGTACTGAGCCACAGAGCTAGAACATTAACACATTTCTCTGATTGCTTTTATTTTTGATGGCTTTTATTCATTTTTTTATTGTATGAAGGTAAAAATCTTTCAGGAATAAATTGGCTTTGTGAGGTGGTTGTGCAACAGGGGTGCCTTAAGACTGTTCCATCTACAGCTGATTTTGCTGCTTTGGTGTCGTTCTTATTGATTGTCGGTGCTGCATATATGAAAGTCTTACAAGTCACCACAGCTCAGTGATTGGAACAGCTCATTTTTCCACCTGGGCGGAGGCAAAAGAAACTGTTGAGAGAGCACCATTTGGCTTTGTCCTTTCAGCTTCATGATCTTATGAGGGAAGTGAGTAAGGGCTTGTCATTTTTGTGTCTCTGAGGATAATATGTCTTCAGCCAGAGGCTGATACTACAAAACGTGTTCAAATAAAGGTTTTCAAATTCAGAAGAACACAGGAGCAACTTTATGCCCTATCAGATTTACTCAACTTTGAACATAGACCATACCTATCTAGGTCAGTATATTTTATGTTATAAGGAAACCAGGAGTTGATATTCCAGTTTTAGGTACAGCTCCTCTATAAATGTCTTTAAGATTTATGTAGTCTTTATCAGCAGACAGGATGAGGGACTCGGCCAGATCCCATGTGGAGCTTTATCCGGCATGAACCGATGCAGGTTTTATCTCCTAAATGCATCAAGATAACTTAGACTCCCCCTATGTAATGTTTGAGGCCTTTCCAGAAGGAATTCCAAACTTTATCTGCAGTCAGGACTCAGGAGATGTCGGGAAGACTTCCGAAGACGAGCATTTGGGACCTGAGTGGTTCAGAGTACCTGATGATTGCTTTGAGGAAACAGTCATATCATGAGGAAGAGGGAGGGACAGGGTTAGAGAGGGAGGGTTAGCGTGCACAGTGGGGTGGAAAAAAGCCAAGGAAAGGGCTCATGACTCTCAGTAGAGCTCTTTTACAGATTTATTTTGATGACCCTCAGTCACAAGGCTTGACGTTTTGACTTGTACTGCCAGGTTCAAAGATGTATTTCACATCCATAATCTTCTCCCCAAACCTAATTCTGAAACTTTCTGTAAGGATGAAGGCTCTTTTCATAAAGTCAAACAACTTTATGTCAGTGATGTTGAGCTACTTCTTTTCAAATACCATCTCTGCCATTACATTCTTTCAGGGTTGCTAATCTTATGGAGGAATGTCGAGCTGCCCATAACCACGTCTCATAATGCTAGTTTTCTTGCTCCCTTAACATTTAACTTGGCATATGGTGTCAGAATTAAATGTATTTAAGTGCCAAATATACAGTAACTGTATCAATTTGCAAGTGTTTTTCCTTATAGATGAAATATTTGTTAGTGGAGTTATGGGACACTCAGCGTCATGAGCGTTGTATTATGAGATCATTGTGCACACAGGTGGTGATGTGTGCCTTTTGGTGTCTTAACTTCTGCCTTTCAGCATTCAGAAACCTGGAAAACAGGATCTGTGTGCATACTTTCTCTGAATCTCCAGCTAGTCTCCCCCATCCAAGCCTGTAATAAAACAACCCCTCAACACCCTGTAATGACTCCAATCTGGCCTCAAGTTGTGGGTGCCACAAACATATATGTCACCGACCACATCCCTTCCCTCCTGGCCAGAAACATGCTAACCTCAAGTCCCCGCTGTGGTTTAACAATGCTATTGGTTTCTGACAGTTTGTGGGAGAAGTTTGAAAGTCTCAGACTGTGAGAAACATTGGGACAAAATCTGGAGTTGAACGTTGAAGCTTTGCGAGTTGGCCATCAGTTTTGCTGGGAACAAAAAGTAAACTGCTTTATAAAATCCAGTTTATTACCCAGAGATGAGGCTATCCAAAATTCACACATATGCTTGGCGGACTTTGGTAAATTTTAGAAGAACAGGACTTGTTTCTTGTTTTGTGGATGGTTTGTATGGAGTTCTTTAAAGAAACCTGTAATTATAATTTCTAGTCCATGTGCCTTTGAATCTGTGTTAGCAGTAAATATTTTGGATAGACTGCTGTTTAACGTGGTGTTTCACACCACTACCTCCCATTATGACCTGTTTACCTGGGAAAATCAAGAATGCCTATTCTTTTCTCTTGCTAGCTCAGATTCTGCCCGTTAACAAAAAAAAGAAGCTCTGTCAGGTCATGTTCAATTCATCCAGGACTTGTTCAGATCGCTGTAACTGGAGTGTGAACCTTAACACACCTCATCCTTCCACTTATTAAAAGACAATAGATCCTTTTGATTTCACCGTCACAGCTTATTGGCACACATTCCTAGTTGAGGCTTTTGGGTCCTGTTGGGTGGCTGTTTTCTACTACACGGTACACCATAACCATTTCATCTGCCAAATATGTGCTCCTCAATGTTTTGGAGCTATGCATCACACTCAACTGCTGTCCTTTTCAATGCCTCTTTCTTTTACTTTGTATTCATACATTCTTTTTTATTTCTACAGGATTTTGAGCAACAACAAGATTCAAGAGCTCAGAAATGGATCTTTCATTGGACTGTCTGCTTTGGAAAAACTGTAAGTAAAGCCATTTCAACTAACTTAACCCGCACTATTAATTGTCTTTGTGTTTTCAGGCTGTACAAGTAAAATATGTGTTCATAATAAGAATCTCAGCTAAATAAAGAAATAATTCTTAACAATGTTACTTCTCAAGCAGTCAGGTGTGAGCACCTAAAAAGAAAAGCCGCCCAACAACTGAGGCTTTGTGTCTGATCTTGTTTTCTAAACCCCCTTCAGTATTTCACATTTTAACTCAGCGTGCATTAGCAGGAGCCATCTATCACTCCACAAGTGAAGCTTTGACTTTTGGAGCCGGAGGCTTCCAAAACACACATTGGCAATAGAGGAAACCGGTCACAGAAAATAAGGAGGCACCCACACAGCGCTGAGCATCAGTTCTGGTAGAAGGCTGAACGAAGTACGGGAAATGTCCACAAGGGTCGCTAGCTGTCTGCCTGGTGACAGGCTCCTGGCAGAAAGCTGCTTCGGACGTATTTTTGACTTTAATCTGTCCATGTTCTTTCGATCCTTAGTCATCAGCTGCAGCTTATCTCCTCAATAACCCACCATTGTTTGTGTTTGGTTAAGAGTAGACTCAGACCAGTGTGTGCTTCCACACAGGGACCAATTGACAATGTCGTCCGTGTTAGTCATGGGTTCTTACCTCTACACACATAGCTTAATGGAGGAGAGACTTATCAGCACCCACTACCCCCCACCTGCCTCCCCACCATTTGTCTGTGCTTTCACACATGACACTGATACACAACACATTCCTACCTAAAAAGGTAAACTTGAAAAAGCCTAAGGTGTTGTTCAACAATGGAAAAATGTCCATCATGTGACTGATGTTGGGAATGTTATCATCCATGTTTTCTACCAACAGAGACTTCTAGCGAATGGCTGTGGGCCTGCAAATACGGGCTACCATTGATTTATTACTCAAGAATGGCTTCATGCAGTCAAAATAACCAGCCCATTAATGGCCCTGCTTTAACCCAAGGCTACAATAACACATGACTGCACTGACATGGAATTCTAAGAGCATGTGTCTCCTGTCTGTTTTTTTCTTCAAGCTACATGGAAAAAACGCTGAGATGTAGCAGATATATGAGGCCTACTTGATTATCTTCTGCTTTGGTTTGACTGCCTTGTGGTGTTTGTTAGTCCTTTTCTCTTCTGTTTGGGATTCTAGACAATCCCTATGTATGCGAGTCCCTCTTGTTGTTTTGTTATCTGTTAGTTGTAACAACACAGGCGTTAAAAATTGAAATGATGAGGAGTACTGAACGTGTTAAAGTGAATATATTCATGATATTTCACCTACATTTTTAAATGAATAGGTCATAACTGTGTAATGAGGAATTTTAAGTTGGCCTTGGTCTCCGTCTTGCCTTGACAAACAAACATTCTCGATGACATTGAATATATAATATCATATCACTGGACTGTGTTAGCAGGAAGATTAAGAGAAACAGAAAAATATTAATGAACTATGATGCATTTCAAACCCACAGAAAGTATAAAGAAATATGTTTGATCATCTCCAAGAAAGCCTTAAAGGCTGTGTTGTTTTGTTTTTGTTGTTTTTTTGTGAATGGTCAGAGCTTTTGGTTGTAAACTACTTTCTGTCTGTCGTTGTGAAAAATCCTCAGGCAAGTGCAGCTAAATCAGCAGCTCCCATTGGCGCTTAGCAGGCCCCACCCCACCACAGTCCAACCACAGCTATTCAAGGGAGATTGCTTGATTGCTTGCTTGCTTTTGTGATTGTAATGTGGCCAACCCGAGGCCAAAGGGTGTCAGCAGTATGAGTCCTACGACTCACGCACACACTGAATGCTGAAACCCTCTTCCCCTCTGAAATGGCCCTCCCACCTCCCAGTCACATTTTTCCCCCTTTGCAAACTCAATGAGGGGAAAAAAAATGCTCCATGAGTCCATTTGAGAGTGTTGAGGCTCTCCATCTTGCCTTCCTCCTACCTTCATAGCTTTTATTTCCCCCCTTTTCAGTTTTTTTGTGTGTGTCCACAAAGGCCTCCTTTCTCACTTGGACTGCATGAATTCAGTGGTGACGACTGAACCAGCAGCTGGCTGTGAGCGCCAGAGAGGGATAGAGAATCGATTGCGCCTATCCTGCACTCGGCGTGAAATTGCATAGTAACTGTGGAGACCGCCATGTTATGTAGGGGCCAAAGGTGCCTGTGCTTGAATATAAGCCACTCAGAATGCACATTATCACTCTCCATAAAGAAAGAGAAGGCCGGCGAGGCGGCTGTCACGTGCTAATTCCTTTCTAAATCCGCTGCTTTGGAGGAATGCTTATTGTGGAAAAGGGTGTCAGGATAACAGCAGTCTGTGTTGTGTCCTGGAGAAGCAAATGTCCCAGTATTCACCCATGGGGAGGGAAGTGAATTCAGTATGTTTGTTGCCAAAGGCTAAGTTTGTGCAGTAGAACACAAATGAATTCAACAGAATCAGAGCAATTTTTATGGATGTTTCTTTGTGGGACTGCTGCTGACTGGATTCAGTCTGTACAGGTGCGGCATGTCTCTGTTAGTAGAGGCTTGTCTATTTGAACAGGATCCATCATTTGAAAACTATAATGGTTTTAGGTATTTTCCAACCGAGAGCACCAACAATCTTCACGGAGTGATCAACCTTTGTCATACTAACCCTCTGTTAGCATGACACAAAAAAGAAGTGTAGTCTGTCAGGCCAAAACAAGGCTTTAGAAAGGTGTGGAAAATTTTACAGAAATACTCTGAAGCTGATGTAAGACTACAACATCTCACATAAGCTGGGAGCATGTTCAATAATAAACTCAAGATTTTTTTTTATTGAAGCATCATCCGCTAAAATTTGCATTCAAGAACCATTCTGTGCTGTTGGAGGTTCAGCTGTGTAGCTGTGTTTATATGTCTGATCATCTTACACAAAGAAAGTTAGAAACAACAGAACTTCTTCAGCTTGGACTTCCACAGTTTAGTCACAATGTCCAGTTTAGTTTGCAGAATAACTTTCTCCCTTCCTGTGTGGATGTTCTGGATGGGCCAGATTAAACTCTATCCTTAGCTCGACTCAGCTGTGCATGTAATCATTCTGACAGACAGCAAAGTGGCTACAGCGGAAACAGCCAGTAAATGTGAAGGGAAATAAGTTTCTCTATAAACCGAGCAAACTTTGCTAGAGGCAGATAGTTCCCTTCTTACTCCACCTGTTAAAGGAACATTCAGGCAACAGCTGCCACCGCACAGACTGAAAAGCATTAATAAATAATAAAAGCATTTTCAATTTTTGTATATATATATATATGTTTAGGTTTATGCATTTTGCATTGATATATATATATATATATATATTTTTTAAATATATATAAAATTATTTTTGTTTTTTTTATAGCCCGAATAGGACCTTTGGAACTTGGTAAATTTGCCCTAAAACATGGAGCAGTTGCAAAACTGCCCTTCTGTTTGGAGCCACTTCAATAGCATTTCTGGAGCACACCTAGAAAACCTCTGCCAGCTATTTCAGTGCCAGTATGTCAGGAAAATGTGGAGTTTTCTCAGTGCAAATAGATCTAAGAGGCGCCAGGTTTTGTGTGGTTTGTGGTCTTAGGAATCTGATTGGCAGCCATAGGTGGTTAAACACGGTCTGCTTCTTTTGAACCTCTCGGTTTTATCCACATTTATTGTAATCTCTGTTGGCTGCAGTTTTCTTATTTTGTTGCAAGCTTTGCGCACACAGCCTATAATTTCTGGTAATGGAATCTCCTTTCAACTGATCAACATGATATGAACTTTTTAACGTACATTTTTTTGTGTGACATTTTCTTCCTGTATTTAAATGGCATTTACAGTTGAATTTACAAAACCGAACAAACATTACTGCTGTCTGACAAACAGTCAGCAGGGAGCTGAAAGATGAGCTCTTCCAGCTGTAACTCTGTGCTCTTGGCTTTGGTAAAGGATAGCAAATTGCGTTTATGTCTTCCATCTCTAAACACTTGAAACTTCAAGCAAAGTTTACTTGAAAGTAAATCTGCATCTGCAGCAGACTAATTACCAGACTCAACATGTCTCTTTGTGTGCTCTCTACTTTCCAGTTCTGTCTCTTCTTGGCCTCCGAGGGATATTTTGGATTCCCCGTCCAGCTCCTTATTTCTCTCTCATCACTGCCTCACAGTGAGGCCAGCTGTTAGCTCGCATCACAAGTTAGTCGAGCAATAGATTGTGACTGATCCATGGCCACGAACACACCTTTAGACGACAGTTCCCTGACATCAAACAGGCAGAGTTACCAGAGGCCCTTTGTGTGGGTTCAGGTGGTGAGTAGAAGGCCTCCAGTGTAATGAGTGAGTCGGCAGTGCTGGTGCAGGTGAGCGCCGCAGGAATTCCGTGACCAAGCCTTTGAACCTGAGGTTGGAGAGGTGTGTGAGAGAGCCGGAGAACGCCTTTGAGGGTCGGGTTGTGACAGCAGTTATGTAGAGATGATAGGTGGTTGAGGTTGGAGGAGGTCTGGGTGCTGTTACTGGATTCAAAAGTGCAAGACAAACTTTACTGCACTGTGTTATTACGGATTTACCCCAGCATGCCGTAACTTGAAGACTCAGACGGGTCTGCATTATGCCTGCTCTTATTTTCAAATCCATTTCTAATTGGAAGCTGATGCCAGTTACATCACTACAATAGGGATGATTTATATTTTAATCAGCTTAATTGAGTTGTATAAAAGTCTGAGGAAATAAGAAAGTAACAATTACCACATAATCTCTTTTTCAGAAACAAATAGTGAAAAAAGGCCCTTTATAAATTAATATCTTTCAGCAATGTGATTTTTCAAGTATTGTATCAACTCATATTGTTCATATCCTCTCTCAAATATTTGCCGATTGTTAAGTTTTGTAGTATGACATAAGTATAACACGTTTATCATAGTATTGTGTTTTAAAGGCTGATAAATGGGGCTTTTTGCACTTAAAGACTGAAATGAATCATCAGGGCTGTTGCTTTCAGCTCGTGGCTGTTTGAATTGCTCCTGTCCTGACGTCTTGTTTTTCTCCCCACAGGGATATGCGGAGTAACGCGATCAGTCGTATTGAACCAGGAGCTTTTCTGGGCTTGCCAGCACTCAAAAGACTGTGAGTATTGATGGAGCTTCTGTGGCTTGGCAGCTTTTTTTATTTTTATTGTTTTATGTGAAAGTGTGTGTGCGCTCTACATTCACACGCTTGTTCCCTCTGGGATTTCACTGAGGTGCTTTTGTTCCTTTGCAACTAAATGATCTGAATTCCAGCGTTTTATAGGTTTCAAGTGCCGACTTTAATTATTTTCCATGTGAGAATATTGTGAAAAGGCACCTTTTGTTCAGTGCTTCCCAGTTAGTTGTTTCTTTTTATGTCTCTTGTCACAAGCAATAGATACTGGCTTGACGAACAGTTGAGCGTTTTAAACGTGTTTAATTTCAGAAACTACTCTTCGTAAAAGGTTTGCTTGTTCTATTATTTAAATGTATCTATTCTTGTAATTTGATTCATTTGGTTCTTTTGGTCCCTTATTGTGGTTCAGTCTTTACATGGAGATAGCTCAGCCGTCTACCACTTAGTATGAGAGTTCTCTCTCTCAGATGTAGTTCTGTGAAAGTGAAAGAACAGTCCAGCTCTGACACAAAGCCAGTGGAACCCAAACGCGTCCTGCCTGCCACCAGGCAGTCCACTCTCAAACGTGTCAGTGTTTATGTCACACAAAGATGCAGCAACAGCCTCAGGAGGTGTGAGCAGGAAGCCCGAGCACGCTCTGTTGGGTGAAAAACCTTCCCCTTCTTCCTGTGCTAGGCACCTGTTGGCTGAACGTTACCGAGTGAACATACCACGAATCAGTGTGAGAATCTCCCTCATCATACGTCTTGAATTTATCGTATCCTGTGAAATTTTAGTCCATTTTGCAATATTTTTGGCCCCACTTTGCCATTGTGCTCCATTTTTCAAAGCTCAGGCCTCTCTTGTATTTTGGGCATTAAGGAGTAAAGGTCACATAGCTTGTGAGCTGGGCTGTTGGTTGGGGAGGTGTTTGGATGATAAGATATCCACAACTTCTTGAGCTCCAAAAGAAAAAGGGCCACATAGCACCCCCACGGTGGTGAAAACAGAGGCCTTTCAGTGGAGCCTTAAAGTGGATCCAGTCTCTATATGAGAGTAATGTCAAGCAGGATTCCATTTCTACTCACTTGTTTTGTTTGGCTTTGTTCCAAAGACCATTGCCAATAGCGTGGGGCCTTATGGACTTTCACACACTCCAGATAAAGATTCACGGGTTAGATAAGTGAATGTGTGGAGTCTCTCAGGATAATTTTAAAATGTAGAGTACATAAAGTTTGAATTCATTGTAATATGCGGTACGCGTCTGCTTGCCAGGTCACTTGTAAATTAACATTTGTGCACTTCCCTTTGTGACTGTGTGTGTTAGCTTCAGAATGAGCAAGAACATGGCGTGAATTGGAATCACCCGACAGCAACGAGCCGCTGCCAACACAAACTTGAGCTTGGCTGCTGCTGTGGAGCAATAAGAGCCCGACAGGAAGCCAGTCAGCTCTTGGCTCAGACCTGCTCATTTTACCCTCTTCCTCCTCCTCCTTTCTGATATAAATTCATCTCAAACTCCAGTACACTCAAGTCAGTCTGTCTATCCTTTACAACCAAATTCCGGAAAGCTCACATTAAAAATCTCATCAAGGGCACAGTTAGTCTTTATTTAAGAGTAGTAACTTTTAATAGTCCTGGCTACCTGATTTAACAAGCTTGTGACACTTAAAAAAAAGGGTTTTATATCTTATCTCCTATTTTGAAACAGGCAGCATGGTTTTTACAGTCATGACAATCCTGAAATAGTTACACTTTTCTTCTTTACCTTGTCCTGTTCAGCATTATGGCAGCAGAACTGAAATCTGAGTAGCGTGCTGTGCTGAACAAAATTGCTTTGCCAAGGGAGGCTTTGTTAGTGAGAAGCCACCCTTGATTACCCAAAACTGATTTATCTATTCATTTTTATTAAACTTACATGTGTCCAATAATGCAAAACCTGACGGAGGGACTGGGAAGAAAGAAGAGCAGTGGAAAGGAGAGAGATCCTTTTGACGGAAAGAGAAAGGGAAAACAAAAACAAACAAAAAAGAGAGTTAGAGATAGAATTTACACTTAATGCCCCAGCTGTCATCTCTGGCTCTGCTCTGGACATGTTTTTACATCCTCCCCTATCTGTGTCTTGACTCATGTCAAGGCTTGCCATTTGGATGGCCCTTTTATCTTGTTTGTGTTGTGGCAGAGCTTGAAAATGGGGATTTAAAGGGAAGGCTGCTTAGATTTGGACTGTAAGGATTCTCCTTTTTAGATGTCAGTCTCTTTATAAATGGCTTTTGCATATACTAACCTTCATGAGGAAATAATCTAAATCATTTTTAACTTTTTTTGCATCTTAATGAAAAGCTGCCTGCATACTAAATAACTATTTAAGCTTTTTCATCAGTGAGGAAAGAAAGATTTCAAACATTTCCCAAACAATGTGCAGTGTTCCAGCAACATGCCACAGATATAAAAGAAGAAGTGACTCGTACGTCACTGCTCTGGACTCACAGCTGATGGACTGCTGGGTCTTGACTTTTTGAAACACTTCAACCTGGGATTGAATGAGACTGAAACTCAACTTTATGCACTTTGTACAACTCTGTTTATTCTGCAGGCCGCCGCCCCCTTCAGGCTGCCCTCCAACAGCTGAACAGCCTGCTCTAACTTAATCTGCTCTGGCTATTTTTGCCTCTGCTTGTTGTATCATTCACAGCAACTGATGAGCTGCTCTGAAATGCTGCTTCGCGCTGGTAATTTGCTGTATGCCTGCAGCGAAAAGTCACGGTGGAGAATTTTCTTTTTTTAAGAGAATGCGCTGATTTGCATTCCTGAATACTTTCAGCATAAAGAGTCCTAATGCCCTGTCTGACAACAATGATGCTATTCTCCAGCTTGTATTGAGTTTCTGTGATTCTAGCTGTTCTATTTGAATCCAGGCGATGAAATGAGACGACAGTGACCCCTCCCCACACCCATTAGCTTCTGCTGCACTATACCTCCCATGACACACAATGCTCGCTCAAAGTGGCAGGCTATAAGTGGAACTGATAACCTGACAGAGTGAATTTACCAGCTGGTACTTTAAGGACAAACACCAATACCTACATAACTGCCTGCAAGTTGGCATGTGCCTGCCATTCCTTGAGCATCTCAGTAGCTTAGATGGTGGTAGAGATAATGTGTCTTTTCACCCAGACTCTTGGTCCTGTTCTTGGTACATGGAAGTAGGGCCATATGAGAAAAAACATATACACATATATATATATAATATTTTTTTCCTAGCTTCACCATAATACCCAATGTTAAAATGTATCACAATGTGTTCAAATGACCTCGGAAAAAAGACATTTAATTCTCTTGTTTGAAACTTTGGTCAGTGTAGTGTTCCAATTAGAAATATTTCCAGTTAGGAAGGGGAATAAGTGATGGATCCAAGGCATGTGGGAGAAAAATTACAGTAAATTACATGCAGCTGGCTTAATGTTGCCATGTTATATCTGGTGGTTACGATAGAGCCTTTTAACTACCAAACATGGAAAAACGTGTCATACATAGAGTATATCCGATGTATCGCCCGCTCCGGCTTAGAAATTATTGGATCATTCAGAGAAGAAAATCTGATACAGCTCATATCAACGAGCTAAGACTTTGAAATGTGAGTCACAAGGATTAGTTGACTTAATCTCACTGGGAATTTAAATACTTTATACCGTCTTCCTCTAAATGTTATTATTCACACTCATTGTACTGTGACTGAGTGTTAAATTCATATTTGTGTATCTTTTAGCATCTCAGCTGGCTTAGCTTGCATCTAAATGTTATTTGATTTGTGCATATAGCTTTTCAAAAACCAAACATGTTGAGGATGAAAAGTTCCTCTGACTGGTAGTATTTTTAAACACGTTGCAGTTTTACACCCAACGACTGCAAAGTTCGCTCTCACTTTTCATCAGCCATGCAGCTGCTCTCAGCAAAAAGCCTCTTAGCAGACGGACAGCAGCCACCTCCCAGTGAAAGTAGATGCCTCAGGAAGCCGGCATAACTCTGGCAGAGCAGAACAGTTAAGCTAAGACTTAAAATTCCCAGGTGCCCCGGATCGTAAATGCAACTTAATGACATCTTTGCTCATTCATGCTCCCTTCCAATTTAATGTCTGTATCATTTAAATGTATCAAATCTAGATTCAGCCAATTTATTTTTTTAAACTGTAGATTTCTCTCCTTATTTCTTATCAGTATGTCTTAAAATATCGCAAGCTTGTGGTGTGTCACGGAAAAACATGATAAAGATGCTCGGCCATCTCTTGTGACCCACTGAAACAGCGTGGTTTCATTTTCTCTCTGAAAGTGGCTTGTTTTATTTTTTATTAAATGCCGTGTGTTCTGTATTCAGAGTCTGAGGTCTGCCAGTACGGCTCCTTCATGCAGAAGTGTGCATAAAGAAGTCTAAAACATATTGAGACGATATGGAAACAAATTTCTGTTAATCTGTTTTACTTTCATTTCTGCCTCGTAGACAGGTGTTTTTTTATGAGGTTGCCTCAACTTTGTGTGTTTATATAGCTTCCCGTAATTATATAATCTTTGCAGGAAATTCTATTTGTTAATGCATTTGGAAATTGTCGGTGGCAGTAAATGTCTTTTGCTCGCCTGCTGAAGCTTCTGAAAATGTAATTGAGGCACTTTAGTCTGATGTTAGTCAGACATCCTGTCAAGTCACATCAGAAAAGAAGAGCTCACTTTTGATGCATTAGACACTGATCATAAGCGATTAATCCACTCCCACAGTGTTACTGTGCCTTTGATGTGTAGGATACCCTGCAGGGCCACACACACGTTAACTAATACCACCTTTATGGTTGTAAACCTGTCAGATGAATTTTTGAGATGTCTGCCTCAACATGCCCGTTGAACCTGGACTTTTTTCTTTTAATCCTGCTGTCTTTTTTGATCACCAACATTTTGCCAGTTGTTACTTTTATCGCAGTTATACAATTTAGCTTTCAAAGTATTTCTTGTGAACCATTTTTGCCATTAATAAGAACAATGCATTCTTCTTTTTGTTTGTAACAGAGACCTGTCCAACAACAGCATTGGCTGCCTGAATGTGGACATCTTTAAGGGCCTTGGCAGTCTGACTCGACTGTAAGTCATCTGGGTTTCTACAACTTCACCATCACTGTCTCTTTTTAAGAGAATGAGTAAAATATCATTCCTTTTTTCAACAGGAACCTGACAGAAAACATGTTCTCTTCTTTGACTCAGGGGACCTTTGACAGTTTAGTGTCCCTAAAGACACTGTAAGTATGAAAAGGACACGGGTGGCCGCTTTGGGCTAAAATCTTATGATATTTCAATGTGTTTCTATAAATGTGCAAGCAATAACATGATGGGTTTCCATCATTAAAAGTAGTTTGAGCACCTTGACTTTCTTGTGTGTGTTTCTATTCTTCTCCAGGGAGTTTCAGACTCCTTACTTGCTGTGTGACTGCAACCTTCAGTGGCTTCTGCGTTGGATTAAAGACCGGAACATCGTTGTGAAAAACACAAAGTGCTCTTACCCGCAGTCTTACCAGGGCCGGCTCATAACCTCCATCAAACCAGAGGCTCTCACCTGTGGTAGGGACACACACCAGAGCCACATGAATATAAACCCTCTCACAAAAAGCTACACAAATTTGATGTAGCAAAAATTTGTAATCCTGAAACAGCATATTTTTGTAAATGTCTTCACTCTGTCCAGTTTCTGATGCGTTTAAATATACAGATTCTGTATATCTTTATTGCTGCAAAAATGCAGCACTGGCTCTTTAATTTTTTTGTGTCGTTATCGGTGTGGCTTGTGTTTGGGGAGCAGGGGCTTGTGCAATGACACAGTAGATAAGACAAGGGCTGCCCAGGCCAGAGCTGCCTTTGTTTGTACTTGCTCATGTCTTATCAGTTTGGCGCTCATGTCTCTGAGGGATTATGAAACACATGGCATAGATTTAGCAGGGGCTGGCTGTCTGACATGAATATTAAAAATCCCAGAAGTGCACAGACATCTAGACGCACTTTTATCTTCTCGGTTGTCAAAAAATGTGCCAGTTGTGAGGTAAACCAGCAGTGCCATTGAGAAATCTTTTGCATTCTGAATATTTACCCTCTTTTTTCCTCAGATGCTCCTCTGGAGTTGCCCTCCTTCCAGCTGACTCCATCACAGCGACAGGTTGTCTTTCAGGGAGACAGCCTGCCATTCCAATGTCAGGCTTCCCTCGTTGCTGAGGACATGCAGGTGCTTTGGTACCAGAACGGACACATGGTCAAGCATGACGCCACTCAAGGCATCTTCATTGAAAAGCGCATTGTGCAGAACTGCTCCCTGATTGCCAGGTATGATGACGTGCATGCTGTTGACCCCAGTTCGTACGTTCTGATAGGATTCATTTTAGCAGCAAACCTAATTAAGGATGTTCTGCTCCTCATGTTTTCCATCAGTGCCTTGACCATCTCAAATATCCAGCCGGATTTTACGGGAAACTGGGAGTGTCAGGTCCGAACAAGCCGGGGCAAAACCACCAGGACGGTCCACATCGTGGTGTTGGAAAGTTCTGCCAAGTATTGCGCTCCTGAACGGGTTTCTAATAACAAGGGAGAGTTCAGGTAAATGGATAAATCACACTTGAAGCCATTTACAATACACCACTAGAGAATTGGTTTCACTTGGGACTTAAAAAGTCCACTTTCATCCATATAATGATTTGCATTTCAGCAGACGGCGGATGTCATCAGAACATTTAAAAAAACGTGTACTTTTATTCCGATAAATCTATGACATGGTGTTAATATTAATAGTATATTTCTCTCCCGTCATGTCATTTTGTTTTTCTTGCTACTTACATTATTGGGCAAGCAGCACCACCTTGTGGTTAATTTTAAAAGACACAATTCACACATTTTTCCTCTGATGGCACAAAAAAGGGAAAATTCTTATTTTAGTTTAGTGAATCTATTCTATATTTTATTCTTCCAGATGGCCACGCACTCTGGCGGGAATCAGAGCTTACCTCCCCTGCAACAGACTTCCATCCAGCGCAGGCATCTACTCGGGCAGCTCGGGCGAAGAGCAGCAGGCGTGGCGCTACTGCAGTCGTGACGGGCTGTGGGCAGAGGAGGATTATTCCAGCTGCCAGTTTCAGAAAGATGTTACAAGATTTCTCTATGTCATCAACCAGGTCTGTTGTGAAATGTTTTAATGTCGAGTATTGTGTTTCCCTCTACCCGCGTAGGCTGGGATGTGTGGAGTCTGTGGTGGCGCTCCTGACAGGTTTTCTCTACATCTTTACAGATGCCTCTCAATGAGAGCAATGTGGTAACCAGAGCACGGCGCCTGTTGCTCTACACAATCGATGCTGCCAACTTCTCAGACAAGATGGACATTATCTTTGTCGCCGAGATGATTGAGAAGTTTGGGAAATTTGTTGAAAAGTTTAAAGATGTGAGTAGTGCATTTTCAGATTTATTTTCTTTCCAACCCAACTGTAAGGACAACTATATACATTCTGAGTGGCTGTTAATGACAAAGACTGAAGTTACAGATTTCCAAGAAAGTAAAATGAACGTGATCTGTTGTCATCCCTTGTTTCCCTATGTACTCTCTCTTATTGATCCCTGTGTTGCTTCCCAGCTTGGCGAGGTGATGGTTAGCATGGCCAGTAACTTGATGCTGGCTGATGAGAGGGTGCTGTGGATGGCTCAGCGGGAAGCCATGGCCTGCACCCGCATCATCGCTTGTCTCCAGAAGATCGCTGTGTGCCGCTTAGCAACTTCCCAGGCCTTCTTCCTGGTTAGCCCCTCCATCATTTATGCAGCCCTTCGGACCAAAGTGGTTCCAGTGCTGGTTTGGGACTGTTGTCAGAGCCAAGTCAAGTTATGAACTGGTTTGGTTTCCCATTCAAAAGACTCTATGATACAAATTTGACTCCTCACTCTTCACCCAATCACTAAAGTTAAGCACAGTGCGCTCTCTGACTTGGGTCCTGGCTCCAAACTGGCACTGGAATGGTCCTGATGAAAAACCTTCTGATAGAGATTTATTCATTGTCCTCGTTGTCTTTCCAGACATCCCCAAACATTGCACTGGAAGCTCATGCTGTAAGGGCCAATGACTGGAACGGCATGACCTGCATGTTATTCCAGAAGCTGAGCCCTGAGCGAACGTCCGGCCATGACCGCCAGCTCACGTTTAAATGCAATACTACCAGCTCTTTATCCAGCATCCTTTACAAGGTCAGCTCCACACACAAATACCCAAAAAGTTAGCATGAGCATGTTATTATTCCAGGACAAAAACATTTTGAAGTATTAAATTGTAATTTCACTCTGTTTCTTTATTGTACAGAGCACGATTGTGGAGGCCTCTCTGCAACTTCCTCCGTCTCTCTTATCCCAAGCTGTGGACCCTGGAAAGGCAGAGGACACAGTCTACAAGCTCCACCTGCTGGGTTTCCGCAACGGCAAGTTTTTTCCCTCCACTGGCAACACGTCCCTGCTGGCTGATGGAGGAAAGAGGAGGAATGTAGCCACACCTGTTATCATGGCTACGATAGGTGAGTCATATAGAGGTCTGACCCTAAACACATAAGAATCATGTATCTGCTTTGTTGGACATTAAAAACTGAGCATCTACTTTGCCCTAATCCCTCTGTTCCATCAGATGGCGTGTCTCTGCATGTCCTGCGGACTCCCATCAACGTCACTCTGAGGCGGTTTGCTCGCGGCTCAGATGCCGTCTCCGCCTGTTGGAACTTCAGCCTGGCAGGAGGGCAGGGAGGATGGAAGAGCGACGGGTGCCGCATCCTGGAGCATCATGACAACTTCACCACCATATCCTGCAGTTCTTTGGGCAACTATGGCCTGCTGATGGTAGGCAGATCTTTGTCTTATTTAATCTGTTTAGCTCTTTTAAACACAATGCATGAGACAGCCTTTGTTTAAAATGTGTAGTATTCAGAAAATATTGCCAATATCAAAACATTTCACTTGGAAAATTGACACTTTGTCTGGTGGCAGAGCTTTGGAGTTTAAAGCTGAGTGATTATCTGCTGATCTCTGGTGTTACAGGACCTCAGCAGTGTTGAGTTTTTTTCTCCAAGCATCCAGCCCCTGCATCCAGTCATCTACGCAACAACTATTATTCTGCTCATCTGCCTGCTCACTATTATTATTAGCTACATCTACCATCACAGGTAACACCTAAATATAGTGGTATGTGTTTGATTTCTGAATGTGTGCTACTTTCCACGCAGGCTTTTCTTTGGATTTCTGTTCTCCAACTAGCCATGAATTTGTACAGACTACAATGCCTTCCGAGAGTTTTTGAAAGCAATCATATATTTTGTAAATTAACAAAGTGGGTTTGGATGCATATAGTAAACAAATTACTCCTTTTCCTAATGTCTGATTGGTTAGAAAACGTGTTAATGTTCAAAGTCTACATTTTCTCAGTTTTGATCGTCATGTTTTTATATTTCCTTTTTTTAACAATTTTGGAAACAGTTCTTAGTCTTTCGCCGCTGTCATTTCACTGATGTTTGCAAGTGATGTTTGCAACTCCAAAGATTGATTTCACTGTTTCCCGGGTCCTTCTGTAAGCCTCCCATTACGGATTCATCCGTCTCTGCAGCTTTTTCATCTCACCAACCTTCTGTTTCATTCAGTGCTGTTTTTGTGACTGCAGGTCGGTCCGTGTAAGCCGCAAGTTCTGGCACATGTTGGTCAACCTCTGTTTCCACATGTCCCTCACCTGTGGGGTCTTTGTGAGCGGCATCAATCAGACACGATACACAAGTGTCTGCCAGGCGGTGAGTGCACTTCAAAACTCACCCTTCCACATGTGCCTGTACCTTTGGATTTTACAGTCATCCAACATAAATGAATCAGGGCTTAAGATGTTTTCTAGAACAAAAAACATGCCCCAAGCGATGATCACTCATCTGATAAAACGGGAAAACGCAGTAAAAGAAAGTTTGAAAGTTAGTGTGTCTGTGCCTCCAGGCAAGCCTCCATCTCTTCTCGTAGTGCCATGTATTGAGGGACATTACTTATTCATTTTTCACTGCACCATATCTTTAAAGAACATGAAGTAAAACGTAATGTTTATTTTACCACCTGAGGACAATTTTTTTTAACGCTCTTGGATGACACACAGAATTACACAATTACCCCAAACTCATTCTCAGTGAAATCTCTTCAATGTAGAGAATGATGTTTTAAATTTTTGTTTTATTGGTAACGGTATAAGAGCAGAGGAAATGTTGCTGTTTCCTACATGTTTTTAACCATATGATTTTATATGAATGTCTTTGTTCTAGGTGGGCATTTTGCTGCACTACTCCACTCTGGCCACTGCTCTGTGGGTGGGTGTGACTGCACGCAACATTTACAAACAGATAACACGTAAGGCCAAGCGATACGAGGAGCTCGACGAACCACCACCACCACCGAGGCCCATGCTCAGGTCCGTGTCCACCACTTGAAGCAATCACTTACATCTGATGTACTGTGGTACATTTATTGTGTTTAGCACGGCCACAACTTGTAATAACATCCAGGTGCCATTTTGTATTTTACCATACTGTAAATTCCACGATTGTTCATACCACAGTCACTTAGCATGTGAGCCGAGTTTGCAGTTCAGTTAGGTTTTACTCATTTAAAATACAAATGCCAGAACATGTGTTTGCACAGGAGTACCCATATCCAACAATTAAATGCATCTGGTTGGTCTCTTCTTGATTGTACATACATGTAGTTGAGATCTTACTGCAAGTCATTTTGTTTGTGAAGCTGATGCGCGTTTTTTGTAATAAAGAACAAAACCATCTCTGCACACCAAAGCTGAACTGCCTCTGTTTGCTTTGTTTTAAAGGTTCTACTTGATAGGAGGAGGTATACCTATCATCGTCTGTGGGATCACTGCAGCAGCCAACATCAAAAACTACGGCAGCCAGGCAAATGCACCATTGTGAGTCTGACCCCATATGAACAGCTATTAGACTTTCTGAGTTTGCGCTCATTGAAATGTGCCCCCATTTCATCTGGACCACCGTGTTTCATGTGGAAATCCAAACCCACAAGATGTTTTACCTTCTACCGCCAGAATGCTTGCTTTAAGTAAATAATGGGCATTTTTATGAAGGCAGGAAAAGTTTATTCCCAAAAGTTCTGATTACAGAGCTTATTAATGATATGTGCACCCAAGCAACACGGCTCTGCTGCCAGTGTACAGAGATCTCCTCCTCCCCTCTCCCCGCTGCAGCATCTGTTCAGATTGTGGAGTGTGGCTGACTAATTGAGAAATCTGGACCCGTATGTGTCTCAGAGTCTTTGGAGTTTAATTAATTTCTTGCTAGCAAAGGAAATTCAGCCTTCGTTATGAAATGTAATGGGACAGTAACTGCAAAAATTGGATGCAGAAGTTTTTCAGAGTCAATTAAAGTTTATGAAGTAAACAAATGATGGTGGCACAATAAGGTGGAGATTCTTGATGCTTTGGTAAATAAGTAGTGTGTTGTACTGTTCAATTTGAAGGTAAAATATGCCCTATATATCCGAGCATGTTTGAATGGTTTTGTCCCCCCTCATCTTTCAGTTGCTGGATGGCATGGGAACCAAGTATCGGCGCCTTTTACGGCCCAGCGGGATTCATCGTCTTCGTGGACTGCATGTACTTCCTCAGCATCCTGCTGCAGTTACGCCGACACCCCGAGCGTCGCTATGAGCTGAAGGAGCCGTCGGAAGAGCAGCAACGTCTGGCCGCAGCCAGCGGCGATGCGGGGCCAGATGGTCCGAGCAGCCACTGCCACCCCTTCACTCTGCAGCTTCAGCCCCACGAAGCGCCGCCCTCCATCGTGTCTGCGCCCCACGCCGTGCCCCTGTCAGCCCTGGAGAACGAGCACACGTTCACTGCACAGCTGATGGGCGCGGCGGGGGCTTTGGGGCTTTACGCAGCCCTCTGGGTGTTTGGTGCCATGGCTGTATCCCAGGACCACCCCTTCGACTTAGCTTTCACCTGCCTGTTTGGGGTGGCCGCGCTGGCCCTCGCGGCATTCATGGTGGCACACCACTGCGTCAACAGGCAAGATATTAGGCAATACTGGTCACAGAATTGTTGCTCCGGAAGGCGCGCATACTCTGCTCAGGAGGATGTGCTTTTGCCCCAGCCAGGTGCTCCAGCAACAGCCCCGGCGGGATCCGATAACAAACCAGATGGCGAATCGATAAAGTTTGGCCACAGCAGCGCGGACTCGTCTTACACAAATAGGAGCGCCCCGAGCATGCGCAACTCTGCCCACGGCAGCAAGCTGACCAATCTGCACGCAGAGGCAGCTCAGTGCAAGTCGGCGCTGGCGCCAGCCAGTGGTCCGGCCATTTTGGACAACAGCCTGACTGAACATTCACTGGACAACGAAATTAAAATGCACGCGGCTCCGGTGGAGGTGTTGTTCCATCCCATGAACAACGTCAGCAACCCAGCACCCGTCACCAACGGACACACAAGCAGGCACCAGAAAAACAGAGCCCGGGCACACAGGGCGAGCCGGCTCACCGTGCTGCGAGAGTACGCCTACGACGTCCCCACCAGCGTGGAGGGCAGCGTGCAGAGCGCCCCCCACAGGCGGCAGCACCACTACGACATGGCGGCGCGCAACAGCCGGCGAGCGGCCTACATGGCGTACAGGGAGCGCCATCAGAGCCAGCTGCAGCAGGACAGCAGCGACAGCGCCAGCCTGCCGCGGCGCTCCCGCCACTCCGACAAAGGAAGCGGGAGTTTGCTCGGGAACGGGACAGTGGTGACCGTAGAGACGGAGCCGGCGGCTGATGCTGGTGTGTCAGACTCAATTAAGGACTGCGGTCCAGTCAGGCAGCCCGGCAGCACAGAACTGGAGAGCCAGAATAAGTCATACGGCCTCAACCTCGTCACCCAGAATGGTGGCACCCTGAAAGAAAACGGACAAACGGCGCCTTTAATCAGCAGCGACAGTGCAACCAGTATAAAAACAGGACTGTGGAAACATGAAACTACTGTGTAGCAACAGTTTCCATCTGTAAGACTGCAGAACAAAACCCTCACACCTTTAAACTGTGAAGCATATTTTACATTTTTGTACCGGTACTTTTTTTTTGCAAGAAGTGCTTTAAACTAGTCGATTAGTCACAATACTGCCACTGATTGTCCATAGGTATGTTTTTGTAAATGTTTTATTTTTTTATAAGTTTTAATCCAACACCAGTTATACTTCAGAGTTCTGTACATGGATCTGTTCTGATCCGTGGCTCTGTGCATACCTGATCATTTTCTACGTGATTTCTGCAATAATAAAACAAAAGTTACCTTACAGAAAGTTTCTATTTGTAACACCCACATTTGAATCTTTTGGCTCTTTGGAGACTCTGAACCAGTGAGTCAGAGCGGTTTTGTTGCTCTTTCCATCAGTATATGACAAGCTGGTAATTGGGTATTTCGCTGACCTTCAGGTGGCCTCTCCCAGGCGGCACAGCCCTTTAATTGCGACTGGCAGTGACTTTGGGCTCCACAGGTGTCTTCTTCCTGCCTGCCGGCAGATTTGATGAGCACACTGTACATTCTGGGCTCCTGCTGACTTCAGGCCTCGGGATGTGATTGACAGCTGACTCTCAGGGCAAGTGAAGCTGCCAGGAGAAGAAAGGATAATGAGAGGCGAGTGTCCTTCTCCTCGCAGCTCCTTCCATCCTCTGTTTCCTCCACAGCTGTGGGTCCCTCTCACAGCTTGATTTGGCTGGTAGGAAGAGAGCATGGAAGAGACAAAGTGCATATGGATTGCTGAGCATTTGAGAAGATTTGCATCACTTTTTGTTGTGTGAATGTCATATATCTTCCATTTTAGCCCAGTGGTAGACCAATCAAATATTTTGCTGGAACGGTTCTTTCTATATCTTTATAGTGAAGAAACATTCAAATCCTCTACATAAGTGAAAGCACAAGTCACACAACACCCCTTCATCCTCTACATATAGCCAGGAAAAATGAAAATGGGCACATCGATTTATTTTGGGCAAATATGAATGTTAACCATACTTACCGAGTTAAGAGCTGTAAATATAATCTGAGTACCTTAATAGCACTGAACAAGCTTTTTCAGCGTCTCTTTAAATAGTTAAGAAGCATAGGTTCTTCAAAAGCTTTTCTTTTGATATTGGCTGCCTTTTGTTCCATTTTCTGCCAGGATGATTCCACACCGGAGAGAATTCACCTCTCCACAAGACCTTTTGCCACTAATTTTGGCACTGAGCACTCTTGTCTCTTACCCCATCTCTGCTTCCTTAAGAATCTCTTTTTGGCAGCCTCCTACTGTGAAGACTTTTTCAGATGAGACCAAAGTGAACAGACCATCTCTCAGGACCCCCAAGAAAAAAAAATGAAAAAAGAAAAGAAACAAAGTGTCTGTGCATGCTGCAGGCTGCCATATATTATCTTGTATGCATATAGGTTCGTCCCTTGGGTTCGGTTACCCTTTTAGGAGCGGATGATTCATTGCAAAATGTTTTCATGTCATTAACCAGCCATCAAAAAAATGTGAAGGTCAAGCAGAAAACTAACCAGTCTGTAAGAATTGATCTGTAATTAGGAGGTACTGATCATTCCAGTCACAGAGGAGACATAGCACAGCTCCGATGCTGACAATTTTTCATTAATGACATATTAATAAAACACATATATCACTCTGGAAAAGATGTATTGCCCAGCCATCTTGTATGTGACAGATTATAATAAGACTTTTGAATTATGGAAAGAGCAGTTCTGCCTTGATTAGTGGCAGCCTCTGTGAGTCCCTTGAGGCACAAAGGAGTGATCTTTGAAAAATCACAAAGTTTCTGAAGCTCTGTCATCTGTAGTAAAGTTCAACCTGGGCTGTTGGCAAAGGAGGCAGAGCAATCTGACAATGTTTCTGCTTAGTGGGGGAAATATTCATCAAAGCAAAATAAGCTGATGGTATCTTGGCTTGAAGATCACAGGGGCACCCTGGGCAGAAACTGATTATAGATTAAGATAAAGCAAAGTCATTTTAGTCTCTTTTGAGGCTCATTCAACAGTCTTAGGGCTGAATCACACTCTTCAGTTAAAAGAGATGAAAGAATCACCTCCAAACTCAAACAGCAGATGATGCTAAACCGTTTTTCAGATGCAGCCATGTTCTCCCATGATGCCACTTGTTAAAAAAGAAAATCATCCTGCAGAATATATTTGAATTTTGTCCAAAAGGCCCTGGATAATTCAACTTAAGCAGGTTAAGTTCTGTTTACAACTTTCACTTTGATGCCTGTGGCATCCACATCTGAGTCTACCAGGGAAACAAGTTGCTGCTGTGAAGAATGATACTTTCCAAAACATGAAGCCTTCCGACTGTGTTGATTGCAATTAGGTGTCTTTGGCTGTCCAGAGGATCCGAAGCGTTTTTACCTGCAGTGGGCTAATCACTGAAAAACCTCTGAGGGCTGGCATATGAATCAAAGCGCTAATTGGAGTCCGGGGTTCATGATGATCACCATCACCTTTAAGCTGATGTCTGCTGAGGTACAGTTGTGTTCGAAATAATAGCAGTGCCTCGACAGCAGCAAGAAAATCACTGGTTTTATTAACATGTCAAACTCTATACCCCAGATAAGTTTCTGGGGGGTAAAATAAAGGTATAGAAAACCAACAAACCCAACAGGACAGCCATGCATACTGTGGATTCTGTGAAATTGAATGATTAACTGAAAAGGGTGTGTTAAAAAAAATAGCAGTGGTGAGTTCAATTAGAGAGGGCATCAATTAGGGAGGGTATTCTGGGAAAAAAGGGTGTTAACAGGTGATCCGTATTTAAGGATCAAGACAACTGGCATGCTGGCTGTGCATTTGTCCTGAAAAAACAAGGAAAATGGGTCGTTCAAGACACTGTTCTGAAGATGAGCGTTTCCTAATAAAAAAATTGATTAAAGAAGGGAAAACATACAAAGAGGTGCAGAAAATCATTGGCTGTTCAGCTAAAATGATCTCAAATGCCCTGAAATGGGAGCAAAAAACTGAAAAACGAGGAAGAAAAAGAAAGACAACCCCTCGAATGGACAGAAGAATAGCCAAACTGGCGAAGACTCAGCCAATGATGGGATCCAAGAGGATCAAGCAAGACCTTCAGTTGACAGTGAGTACTGTGACAATCAGAAGACGTCTTACTGAGGTTAACCTTCCAGCAAGAAGCCCCCGCAAAGTCCCACTGCTGAGAAAAAGACATGTGCAGAAGCGTTTACAATTTGCCAAAGAGCACATTGACTGGCCTGAAAAGAAATGGCATAATATCTTGTGGACAGATGAAAGCAAGATTGTTCTTTTTGGGTCTAAGGGTCACAGGCAGTATGTCAGACGCCCTGCAAACACAGAATTCAAGCCACAGTACTCACTGAAGACCATTAAGCATGGTGGTGCAAGCATCATGATATGGGGATGTTTTTCATACTATGGTGTTGGTCCGATTCACTGCATACAAGGGATCATGGATCAGTTCCAGTACATCAGGATCCTGGAAGAGGTCATGCTGCCATATGCTGAGGAGGAAATGCCTTTGAGGTGGACCTTTCAACAGGATAATGACCCCAAACACACCAGCAAGCGAGCAAAAGCATGGTTCCAGATGAACAAGATTCAACTGATGGAGTGGCCAGCACAATCCCCGGACCTTAATCCCATTGAAAACTTGTGGGCTGACATAAAAAGTGCAGTGCATGAGGCAAAACCAAGAAACGCTGAGGAATTGTGGAATACAGTGCAATTATCCTGGGCTGCAATACCTGTGGAACGATGCCAGAAGTTGGTTGACTCCATGCACCACAGATGTGAAGCAGTCATCAGAAACCGTGGTTTTGCAACAAAATATTAGTTTAGGATACTCAGCTAGGTTCACTTATCAAGAATTTCTTTGTTTGTACAGTACATTTTTGAGTTTCCAAGGAAAGATGGCAACACTGCTATTCTTTTGAACATGCCATTTCTTACTTTATTTGAAATATTATTATTATTATTTTAGTTTTGATGACTTTGCGCAATTGTTTTGCTTTGGAATAGAATGTACTGTGTCCCCAATGTATCTGTGTTCATTAAAGTACAATTTCTTTGAAGAATTTTGACATTTACTCATTTTTCTAAAGGCACTGCTATTATTTTGAACACAACTGTAAGTGGTGAGTTTTTTTTAGGGTAAGTTTACGTCCAAATAAAACAACCACAGTTGCTTCAGGCATGGTTGGGATTTGTGTATTTAAGCTTTTTTTCTTTCTCGTTTCATGATATGCTTGTGAAACAATTCCATTTGCATTTAATATGACAGACTTTACAACAACACTGACTGTTTTTACTATATGTTGTCTAGACTTGAATGTTGAAGGGGCTTATTTTTTTTCTTGTCAGCAAGCTACAGTTTCAAAAGACGGACCTTTTTGCTGATTGTGCTGGTGCGGCATTTTTGGGAAATATATGACCAGTTTATGCCAGTTTAAACACTAAAGATTCCCTCTGAAAAGGCCTGCAGCTGCATCCTGGTTGTGACACCATGAATGACTGGAGATTGCCTTTGTGATGAGGTTTTAGCTATGGGTCCCCAAAAGAGGAATGCTTGATCTCTTTGACAGCAGTCACCCTGATGAAGGACCCGTTAGCAGGAACAGAGGCCATATGTGTCAAACTGACCTGGCACGGGTCGTAAAATATCATCTGACAAATTCACCCCGGCCTGTGTTATTTTACAGAGTGGAGCGGAAAAGTCTGAATAACCCGCTTTGTTTTTTCTCAAGCCAAAGTGTTCAATAGACATTTTCTTGATGATCATTTGATGAATTGAAGTGATGGCATTTTAATATCAGTGCAGTCTCCTCATTTAATACAGTAGAGACCTCGTGCAAACCCAAATTTATTCATGATTAAACTTCAGGCACGGATGAGCACAGAAATAGATGCTCGCTCTGAGATCTCGGGGGAGTAGAGACACTGCAGCAAAGTTGGTCATTAGATCAAACTTACACTTGTATGCATGTAAGTACATATACTCCAACATGTTTGAAATGATATTCTGTGTTTTTTCAGGCAGACTTAAATATGATTTCTCCAAATACGAAAGCTTGAACTGACACCCTGACCCAAGCAGAGAAATTTTAAAACAATTTCACGCTCTTGTTAATGATGGTGTGAGGCCGGCTGCAGCTCTCTTATCTCCATGTGTTGGCAGGTGGTTCTCTCATTAATGCTTTTATATTGTCATCCATTCACTTGTGCCCGTCTGTCTGCACAGATCTGTGTTTGTCTTTTTGTCCAGGTGCTCTGTTATTTATAG